TCTTGTACCTAATTTGATCCTCTGATTGTATTTGTATTTGTAAATTCTTTACAAATTTAATAAAAAATTCTTTTTAAAAAATGTTGTCACAAGCCCCTGACTCAGGTGGTGACGTGTGAATAGGTAGAGGTTGTGCAGGAGACATTTCACCCTGGAAATGTTCCGTGACCTGCATGCAGAGTAAACAGTTAGTAATCGTTGGCAAAACCATCTTGTAGTCAAGAGCCGTATTTCTGTTGGATTAAACGAGATTTTTGGTGCCGCGTTCTGAATTCGCAGACAATGACGGCAGTATAACACTTGCGCGTACCTGGAAATCGTTGTCGGTTTTGAGATGTACACAGTAACGTGTAAAACCTTCAATTTACATTTTAACTTTCATGGTCGTTGGAAATGCACTCATCGACGCCGATTCTTTCTAGCCCGGAAATATAGAAATAGCGTCGCAGTTTCCCTTTAAATGTGGAACCTGTAATCAGCCTTCAGTCGACATTCATCCTAGAATTCGATATTTCGTTATATAGCTGGGCTCCATGTTTATCAGTCACAGGCATGAATTGACAAGAATACAAACATCTACCTCCTGGGAGGGGTATTTAAAGTGTGCCTGCCGCGCATTTGAATTTTTCTCTGCACTCTAATCCTTCCTCCCGGAAGGTATTTGTCCCCTGCATGAGCGCACGACCGACAGCCCTCTCTCGCTTTTGTCTCCCTCTGGTGGCGCAGGACGGTAGTGCCGAGGGGGCTCCGGAGTGCAGGACGGCGGCGGACGGTCGGGAGAGCAGGGAAACGCCGGAGAGGCTGGACTCGGATGACAGAGGAGAGGGGCTGTGCGGTGAGTGACGGGGCGGCTCTAAACATATCGGAGGCCCCCGCTGATTAATTAAAACCAGAAGAAAAAAAAGAGTACAGTCTGAAACGACTGCCTTCAGAAGGAGACGTGTTCTCCTCGCCTGTGGGCAGAACAGGGTCTGGGACAGAGGGGCCTGGGCGAGACCATCGAGAACGGTCCTGCCGTAGTTTGTCCAGGTTGTTCTCGAGGGTGTAAAAAATGAACATGCTGTAATTCCTTACACTTATA